CAGCCAGGACAGGTGCGCCCAGGAGAGTCCCAGCCCGGCATCATTAGCCCCATCCAGCCAGGACAGGTGCACCCAGGAGAGTCCCAACCTGGCCTCGTGCGTCCCATCCAGCCAGGACAGGGGCGTCCAGGAGAGTCCCAACCCGGCCTCATGCATCCCATCCAACCAGGACAGGTGCGCCCACTCCAGCCTGGCGTAGTGCATCCAGGTCTGTTACAACCTGGCTTAGTGCATCCAGGGCAGTTCCAGCCAAGCCTGGTGTATCCACATGAGTCCCAACCTGGCCAGCTTTTTCCACGCCAGCCTGACCTTGTTCACCCATTTCAGCCAGGCTATGTTCATCCAGGGGAGTCCTTTCCTGGGCCTGTGCATCCAATGGTCATCCAATCTAGTCTAGGTAAGTGAATTTTACCTTTGATTAAAATGTTTATTATTGCCAGTATCATAAATGTACAATATAAAGCACATACTATCACTCCATAACCAAAGTAACTTTGGTTTCTGGCTTTATGTTTTTAATTTAAGAATGTGGAGGTCTTATCATATGGTGAGAAAGTTTTTACATACACACACACACACACACACACACACGTGTGTCTCTCTCTCTCTGTGTGTGTGTGTGTGTGTGTGTGTGTATTATTGCTCTATATTGCTTTTCTAGTTCTTATGTTACTTATTTATATACTACTAAATCCTGTGTGTCTGTAATCTTTAACTGGGTGAAACGGGGCCTCACAGGGCAAAATATTTTCAACCAAATAACCTCGAATGGGCTAACTTACAGAATGCATCCAAAATCTGGGACCCATAATTCCTGTGGAATTGAAATTTGGCAAGTTTTATAAAACATTTTATGACATAAAAATTATCAAAGTATTTTATGACATAATACATACAATACATATGACATCATGAAACATGGCATATGTCAGCTCCTGATATTTGACTGCTATACAGTTCAACATGGGCTACTTTCAAGGGAGATACATTAAGAACTCTTGATGTCCATTGGAAGCTCTGCTATTTTTTTAAGGCATTGAGGAATCTAATAAGGAAATATCTCTGAAACAATCTAACAAGTCACAGGACAAGTCTAGTTGTCTTTATCTTTAGGTATAAAGACCTTCCAGTTTTCAGTTTCTCATGTATTACTGGCCTTCTCTTCGTTGAATCACAAACTTTTGTGATGCTAAGCTCATACATTATGACCTTATATATTGTGATGTACTTGTGATGTGTTTTTCTTTTTATGATAAAAATAATAAAAACTTATATTTTGGAAAAAAAAAAAAAAGACTAAAACATTATGGTTTATTTACATGCTTCTAGTCGTTAAGGACTAATTTTCCAAACAATGCAATTTCTCTTACTTCCAGGTCGCCCTCTAACTCAGCAGCAATGCCAGGTTTCTTCTGGGAGAATACCCTGTGCAGATGTACAAGGACCAACAGCTTGTCATCAGACTGGATGTTGTTATGATGCTATGGATCAGGCGACTCCATGCTACTATGGCAACACAGGTAAAAAGTAGTTAATGCTGAGCCTGGGATCCAGCCATTGCTGTGTTTTGAAAGTAAAATGTCATTTTCCTAAAAAGAGGATTTGTGTGCAATAGTATGATGAGACTGGGTGAGAGAATGATCACTTCTGCCTTTTCCTGAAAATAAACACACACATACACACACACACACACACACAACGAGAGAGTTCTTGACCTGTTCCGCTTGTAACCTCTGCGCTTTGTGTGTTGCAGTCACTGTTCAGTGCCTTCGAGATGGCTACTTCATCTTGGTAATCTCCAGGGATATGTTGGATTATCCAATCATCCTGGAGAGTGTTAAGCTCTCCTATGCCCAAGCAGGTTGTGGTCCAGTCAGGAAAACAGAATCTTTCCTGGTCTTCCGCTTTTCCCTCACACAGTGTGGCACAACAATTCAGGTGAGGATGCAGTCCAGGCAAGTGCTCATTTATCTGGCTCTTGAAGGATCTTTGACTTAATTACTGGACCCTATAAAAATGGCTGTGTTTGTTGTCCTTCTAGGNCCCATCCAGCCAGGACAGGTGCGCCCAGGAGAGTCCCAACCCGGCCTCCTGCGTCCCATGCAGCCAGGACAGGTGCGCCCAGGAGAGTCCCAGCCCGGCATCATTAGCCCCATCCAGCCAGGACAGGTGCACCCAGGAGAGTCCCAACCTGGCCTCGTGCGTCCCATCCAGCCAGGACAGGGGCGCCCACTCCAGCCTGGCGTAGTGCATCCAGGTCTGTTACAACCTGGCTTAGTGCATCCAGGGCAGTTCCAGCCAAGTCTGGTGTATCCACATGAGTCCCAACCTGGCCAGCTTTTTCCACGCCAGCCTGACCTTGTTCACCCACTTCAGCCAGGCTATGTTCATCCAGGGGAGTCCTTTCCTGGGCCTGTGCATCCAATGGTCATCCAATCTAGTCTAGGTAAGTGAATTTTACCTTTGATTAAAATGTTTATTATTGCCAGTATCATAAATGTACAATATAAAGCACATACTATCACTCCATAACCAAAGTAACTTTGGTTTCTGGCTTTATGTTTTTAATTTAAGAATGTGGAGGTCTTATCATATGGTGAGAAAGTTTTTACATACACACACACACACACACACACACACACACACACACACGTGTGTCTCTCTCTCTCTCTGTGTGTGTGTGTGTGTGTGTGTGTGTGTGTGTGTGTATTATTGCTCTATATTGCTTTTCTAGTTCTTATGTTACTTATTTATATACTACTAAATCCTGTGTGTCTGTAATCTTTAACTGGGTGAAACGGGGCCTCACAGGGCAAAATATTTTCAACCAAATAACCTCGAATGGGCTAACTTACAGAATGCATCCAAAATCTGGGACCCATGATTCCTGTGGAATTGAAATTTGGCAAGTTTTATAAAACATTTTATGACATAAAAATTATCAAAGTATTTTATGACATAATACATACAATACATATGACATCATGAAACATGGCATATGTCAGCTCCTGATATTTGACTGCTATACAGTTCAACATGGGCTACTTTCAAGGGAGATACATTAAGAACTCTTGATGTCCATTGGAAGCTCTGCTATTTTTTAAGGCATTGAGGAATCTAATAAGGAAATATCTCTGAAACAATCTAACAAGTCACAGGACAAGTCAAGTTGTCTTTATCTTTAGGCATAAAGACCTTCCAGTTTTCAGTTTCTCGTGTATTACTGGCCTTCTCTTCATTCCTTGAATCACAAACTTTTGTGATGTTAAGCTCATACATTATGACCTTATATTAAGACTAAAACATTATGGTTTATTTACACGCTTCTAGTCGTTAAGGACTAATTTCCCAAACAATGCAATTTCTCTTACTTCCAGGTCGCCCTCTAACTCAGCAGCAATGCCAGGTTTCTTCTGGGAGAATACCCTGTGCAGATGTACAAGGACCAACAGCTTGTCATCAGACTGGATGTTGTTATGATGCTATGGATCAGGCGACTCCATGCTACTATGGCAACACAGGTAAAAAGTAAAAAGTAGTTAATGCTGAGCCTGGGATCCAGCCATTGCTGTGCTTTGAAAGTAAAATGTCATTTTCCTAAAAAGAGGATTTGTGTGCAATAGTATGATGAGACTGGGTGAGAGAATGATCACTTCTGCCTTTTCCTGAAAATAAACACACACACACACACACACACACACACAACGAGAGAGTTCTTGACCTGTTCCGCTTGTAACCTCTGCGCTTTGTGTGTTGCAGTCACTGTTCAGTGCCTTCGAGATGGCTACTTCATCTTGGTAATCTCCAGGGATATGTTGGATTATCCAATCATCCTGGAGAGTGTTAAGGTCTCCTATGCCCAAGCAGGTTGTGGTCCAGTCAGGAAAACAGAATCTTTCCTGGTCTTCCGCTTTTCCCTCACACAGTGTGGCACAACAATTCAGGTGAGGATGCAGTCCAGGCAAGTGCTCATTTATCTGGCTCTTGAAGGATCTTTGACTTAATTACTGGACCCTATAAAAATGGCTGTGTTTGTTGTCCTTCTAGGTGACTGGTGGCAAACTGATATACGAAAACCAGCTCGTTTCTGGCCTTGACATCCTAAGAGGGCCAGATGGCAATATTACACGAGATAGTACCTTCATGTATGTTGAGTTTGTCATGTACCGATGAGATAGTTCTCCCTTTAGTTTTAAGATATGAATATTTTTTAGTCTTCTAAATTAAGTTTTACATATTGGACCTTGGTTCTTTAGCTTTTGATGTATATAGCTATTTTTCCAGACAATTGGCCTCGTTAGCGGATTGGAATGGGAATGGAAGTCCAATTATAGAAGGTTCCCCACTTTTGGCATAGATTGGTTGTGGACTGCCTTTAAAGTACATAGTTTGCAAACTAAGGTTAATCTTCCATAGCTCCTCTTTTCAAAGAATCCAACAGTTTTAAGTGCAGCTTGATTCACGTTTGTTTATTTAGACAGCAATAAATAATCAGGTTATAACAGAGGTTTGTTAATGCGAAGCCTTAGGAAGGATAGCTATCTACCAAAACTAAGATTGATTTTGAACATTCTAGTCAAAGGAAATGATTTAGCAGGAAAATCTCTTGTATCTTGTACATTTAGGCTTCATGCTCGTTGTATCTACAATGCTACTGATTTCCTGCCACTTCAGGTTGAAGTGTTTTCACCTCCCAGCCCAGCTCCAATTTCCCAAGTAGGACCCCTCCGGCTTGAGCTACGCATTGCCACAGGTACATCTGCCTTAATGTCTGATATCAAGTCCGCTAGGCATCTCCTCTCTCTGAAAAACCACACAGCCGCATTTTGCCTCTTGTCCCCAGATTCGAGCTATACCTCATACTACTCAGATACACAGTATCCTATTGTGAAGATCCTGAGAGAACCTGTGCATGTGGAGATTCGCATCCTACAGAGACTGGACCCATCCCTAGTTCTGGTTCTCCATGAGTGCTGGGCTACTCCAAGTTCAAATCCGCTTGAGCAATTACAGTGGCCAGTGCTAGTAGATGGGTAAGTCAATAAAAAAGAAAAACGTTAATTCTCATAGCACTAGGGGGGGTTTCAATGGCAATGTTTTACATATCTTATTTAAAACAAGTTTATATCTAATTTAACCAGTGTGACTCTGGGTGGCTTACAAGAAAATTCAGCAAATCTGATTAAAAGCCCATAATACATAAACCAATTGATAATAATGAAATGATAAAATGTAGATCCAAATGGAAATGAAACTATCATGCAATTGGGCCTTCAACACATTACAATCCCATGGCTTAGAGAAAGAGCCATATCGTGACAGCCTTTCTAACGCATTTTCTTCCCAGGTGCCCGATTGAAGGGGACAACTACAGAACCCAGCTAGTACCCATGGGACCTGCTACGTCAGAGCTTCGCTTTCCTAACCATTACCAGCGTTTCATCATTTACACATTCACATTTGTGGATTCTGCCCCTCAAGTGGTGCTAGATGGCTGGGTAAGAAGATAAGCAAAGCAATTGCTTATTGTATTCAGTTTTTCCAATGAAATTACCTTCTAAGAGAGTACGGGACAATGTGCCACCGTATGCTACCGAATGTAAATGGGGAAAATATAGTAAAGAAATGTTGTGGTTGGGTTTTTAATACTAATATAGATCACACGTGTTGCTAAGGAGCAGATCTGAAACAAATCTCTGGAGGGTATTTACCTGAATTTTTTAATGGGAATTTTGGGGTGAGATGAATATATTTAGTTGTGATCATCTTTTATTACATATCTGTTTAAGAAATCTTGTTTCCTGGATACCTGTATCTAATAACCTGCTCATGGAAGCGGTGCATATCTTATACCTAAAGAGAGATGGACCAAATATACAATACCTTAACTGTTAGGGCACTGCCCATTGCTTGCTTATTTGGGTAAATAAAGGAGGCTGAAGATGTCTTTTTTTTTTTAGCAAGGCATTAATGAGTACATATTTTGGAGATATATCTTAATAGAAGTTATAATCTCATGTGAGTTGAAATTAACTAAAATGAGATCCGACAAGATTGAGGTTGGTCTACTCTGTTAACGGACTCATGCTATACCTTTTCTAGGTGTACCTTTTCTGCAGCGTATCTGTTTGCCATCCCTCTGATCATGATTCCTGCAGGGTTGAGTGTCAAATGCCAGTGGCTTCAAGTAAGTTAGAATGTTTCACTGCCACAGTTTTAAAGGACTTTTCTCCCTCTGCTTAGTTGTTCACGAGGCACATAACATATAAAATAGCTAACATAAATATATCTTGAATGTATGAAGAAATCGAACATGATCTAGTTTAAGGAAAGGCTTTTAAAATCATTTTGAATAGTTTAGTATTGCTCATAAACCCGACTAGCTCACTGCTTACCCATAGTCAAAATTTTGTATGAGCAAGGAAGACCATAAGAAGCAATTTTCCCATTCTATTCTGCCTTGATCAAACCCCACTTGGAATACTGTGTGCACCTCTGGACATTAGTATAGAATAAGACATTGATACATTGGAACAAGTTCAGAGGATGACTGTAAGATGGCAAGGGGATTGACAAAAACAGCCTCATGAGTAATAGTTAAGAGAGGTAGTATGTTTTGCCTGTAGAAGAGAAGACTGAGAGGAGACATGGTAGCAGTTCTCAGATATATCAAAGGTAGTCATATAGTGGAGAAATAAGCTTGTTCTCTTTCACCCCAGAGACAGAGGGCAGTGCAAGAATTAGAAGGACATAGATACAGGTCGTTAAATATTAAGAGGAATTTCGTGATGGTGATCATGATTCCAAACCAGTGGAATGTTTCCACATGATGTGACATATTGCTCTTTACTGGAGGTTTTCAAATAGAAGATACATAGCCACATGTCCAAAATGTTTAGCAGTTCCTCCATTGAAGGAGGAGTTGGACTAGCTAAAGTTTTAAGGGCTCTTCCAACATTGATTAGGTGCATTTTAAGTTAAAAAAAGCACTGCTTCTGAAACAAATTATTGAGGAATTCTACTTGTTTCCCTCCACTCAGCACATTACTAATTAGTTTTTTGTTTTGCCTGTTAGCAATATGTAAAAGAACAAAGCCTTTGATCTCATTGCCCCTAAATTGTATTTTCATTACCAGTTTTGCCAAAGGCTTTTAGAAAATCCAAATATTGAACACAAGTCAAGGTTATTTTCATTCACTTGGAGGTTATTTTTTTTTAAAAAAATCAAATATTGGTAAAGCAATATTTAGCACTGTAAGATCCGTGCAGATTTTTCATTAGTAGGGCTTATGCCTCTGTGTGCCTCAATTAATACTTTTTCATTGAATAGCGTTTTCATCACTTTGCCTGATATTAAGCCTGCTATTTTATAATTACCTGATTCTCCCATGGATTCATTTTTTTAAAAAAAATCATTTGTATGTTTAATTGATAATATTTCTTTAAAAAAATTATTTACATCCCACCTTTATTTTTATTTTTTATAAATAACTCAAGGCAGCAAACATACCTAATGCCCCTACTTCCTCTCCCCCCCCCCCCCCGTAACAACTCTGTGAGGTGGATTGAGCTGAGGAAAGTGTCTTTTGAATTCTTCCTTTCAATTTTTTTTCTTCAACAATTCCCCCCCCTTTTTTTAAGAACTTTCCCCTTTTGTAATTAAATAGAAATATACTGCAACCTGCTGGAAATTTATCATTTCTATTTATCTTACTATGCATCTTGTCCCCTATCTCTTAGGAGGCCGTCGATTTTTTAAGGAGGAGAATGAGACAGAATCCTTGGACTTAGTAAGCACTTATGGAGCTGTAATTTTTCAAGAAAGTATTCATGAGAAACAAGTCAAGTGGGAGAGTGGTAAGTAACTGCAATAATGAGGAGCCAGGAATTAAAATAATATATTTAACATAGTCAATATTTTCCTTAAAACACTAACCTCAGGTTACCTACATTCCTTTATAAAGTGAATGCTTGATATGCATAGCCACTTAAATAGGAATATTCATAAGTGGATATTGGTAAATGGGCACCAGCTGACAATCCTGAAGCTGTTACATTATTATTACAGAAAAATCCAAGCTATAAGCATCCCCTTCCCCTCATTCTTTTTACCCCAAATTGGGTAATGCTGATAGAATTTGCTAATAATTTGCATTTCAAACCACTGTCTATTTGGACATCATTATATTTTATGCAGTGCTATTTCTGTGGCCCCTACAGAATAATCATAATATAGCAAGAAAAATGTTTTTTCAATAGCTTGGTCAAGTGGCAACTGCTTTGTGAAATGACAATGAGTGAATTACAAACTGTTTTCTCTTATCCACAGATGTGATCTCCAGTGAAGACCTGACTCTGGTGCTTTTGTTGGTACTACCTATCATTGGGATTATCCTATTTATTGCTGTGCTAGTGCTCTGGAAGAAAAAAAGTATGATGACAAAGCTCTAAATTTGTACAGAAAATATATAAATAAAGCTATACCCAGTAGCTTATAAAGAGTCTCTTGATATTTCAGTTCTTCACTGACTAGACAGAAAATCGGCCATTCAGTGATTACTTCCAGTAATTCAATTTTTATGTAGATGTTAGCTATCTTTACATTGCTACAATTATGAATGCAAGAAACCCATTTTTTATATCAAAATTCATGCTTTGTTCCCTCTTTTATTTTATGGATCCTCTTTTAAAAACTATGCCCTTATACTAATACTGCATGTGCAAAGAGACAATCTCTTATTTTAAATAGATTCCTGTGTAATGTCCTCTAAGCTTCTTGCCAATGCCTCAATATTACTTCAAGAGGAGGGATGAAACTACAAGCACCGGCTATATTAAATGAAGCACACAAGAGAGATTCTAGAAAACTTTTCTGGGAGTTATTAAGTGGGTTCCGAGAAATAAAAACATAATTATTGCTGGTTATAACTCATGTGAGTTATACGAGTTGCAGATTTGTAAACGTGCCCTGAGATCATCTGCACAAATGCAACAATGGGAAAAGGAGAGCATCATCTATTTAGAGGGCAAAAATGTCCGGTAGTAAAGCAACTCTTGCTTTCCCATATTTTCCAGCTCACCCATTTTTTATGTCTTTCAAAACAGCTTCCGAACTACATCACCCGAAGCGGGTGGCAAACCACAATTTTGTCGTATCTTTGCTGCCATTGATGTTGCATGGGGATGTTTACATATCTTTGGAACTTGCTTCAGCTTCAATTACAGCAGAGAGGGGCCTTTATTCTTGGAAACCCCCTTTGTCTACACCATTACATTTTTGTTTTCTGTACAGAAGCAAAAAAAATA